TTTAGAAAAGATATTGTTACCTTCGTGGAGGAGAAACCTCCATAGGAATTTTGCTGCTTTGCTACCCACTGTACAACCTGTGAAGCACTGGACAGCTCTTCTGAAGTCAGCCTCGGCTTGGAAAGAAGGGCTAGTAGGCCATAAGAGGTTGTCTCTATGTTTGCAGAGGAAGACTGAGGATAGTAGAAAGAGGATGAGCCTTCCATAGAAATTCGCTCTTCCAGTTCCCAATACACTGAGCCACCTGAGAAAAAAGTGAAGGGAAGTCAGTAGTAGCACCTATGTCAAAGCACAGGATTTTATATGCGAGTAACTGGACCGGTGATATCTGAGGGAGTGCAAACCCCACAATTAGAAATACAGAAACATGAAAGGATGTTAATTATACCCCTTCTAGCCATTTTTCTTGTTCAATATGTGATTCCAAAGATGTCAAAGGTACTCACCTGCTTTCTTTGCTTTCTTGCTCAGCTCATTGATGAAGAATTCTCTTTTGTCTTTATATTGTACTAAACTGAAAGTGTAGGCCAAAAGAGCCTGGTCATAGGTAGTCAGAACTCTCTTCCTAGATGCAGCCTCTGTGCACTGGAGACCCTTTTGAACTGCCACAAACTGCAAAAAGAAAGGAAAATAAAAAATCTTTGCACATGAAAACATATGTCCAAATATAGGTAGGTGTGTTTTTACCAGAAAAAAATCAGGAGTGAATCTTGTTTGTGCTGAAATGTTCAAAGGGAAATTCAATGAATTTATTTTAATATCTGCATAGTTCTACCTGCACAGTGTGATTTGACTATTAAATCACTGTTTAAATAGTTACTTAGAAGGAAAAGTTTATTTTGGCTCAAGATTTCAGAGGGTTAGCCCACAGTCAGCTATGGGCCTGAGATGAAGCAGAACAATCATGGTTGAAGGGCTTGTTAGAGGAAAGCAGCTCAGGACGAGATAGTAATTAAGCAGAGAGAGCTCTGCTCAAGGACAAAATGTGAATTCCAAAGTCACATCCATAGTGACCCATCTTCACCAGTCGCACCTTGCCTTCCTATAATTACCACCCAGTTAATCCATTTTAGTGAGTTAATGCACTAATCAGGTTACACCTCTCATAATCTAATCATTTCACCTTTGAATGTTATTGCATCATCCCACACAATACCTTTTGGGGGACACCTTGTATTTAAATCTAACAGAAGGAAATTGGCTCAGCAGTATTCTGCAACAGCTCTGAACACACAGTTTTAGATCTATTACTATATTGTTAGCATAAAGTTTTGAATTCTTAAGAAGCTAGTTCGTGGTATCACTTGTGAACGACTTACTGAGACTGGATGACCAGCTTCAAGCAGAGCGTTGATGACATATGCAGTGAGGGAGATTTCATTATCTTCTCCCTAAATAAAACATGATCATGTCAGTTTCATGAAATTCAGAGGAAAAGAAGACTTTCTTTTGAAATGCAATGTATTGTTAGCCTTTATAATTATAATGTACCAATTAAAATAATAATAAAATTAGAAGAAGAAGGATTAGAAGATCAGAGCAAGCAGATAGTGAAGGGCAGAGGGGAGGGAAAGGAAGGTTCAGGGAAATGAGATTGATCCAATTATATTATATGCAGGTACAAATATGGAATAATGAAACCCACTATTACATATAATTGTAATGTATGAATGGAAAAATAAATGTAATATATTGTGGAAACTTCAGATTTGTACATGTTTTCCTAATTTGGGGGGCAAAGATTTTCATATCCTCAAAAGATACTTCTCTTAAATTAGGAAATAGTGTATGAAAATATAAAACATTTATAGAAATAGTAACATAATTTAGAAAAATAAATTATGGTCCTACAAATGTATTTAAAATCAAAGGAGGCATAGGATGCTCGGCAAACATCTCCCAACTCTCTCCTTCATTCTCACCCCAGAAAGAACCTAGAAAGTGTCATGGAAAATGCAGACTAACATATTACAATGATTAAAAGAGTGTAGCATAAAAGAGAGAGGCATGTTGATCAACAGGACAAGCGGAGCAGAAAGAAATCATAGCAAGTACAGAAAGCAGAAACCAAATAAGAGTTTAAATGGCCTCAAAAATCAAAAAGCCCAGACAACAGTAATTATCAGGAGGTGCTACAAATGGTAAACTATTTAGAGTAGACAAATAAATGATTTTTAGATTATACAATAATACTAGTAGTAAATAAAATCTAAGTTACTCCAAAGATTAAATGAAAATTACAAGGGAGAAAATATAAATGGAAAGTAATCATGTGAAAAAATTGTTTAAACTGTAAACAGGAATAGGATAAAGCAGTTTTTTTGTGTTCCTACATTTTTGAAGACTGTTTTCATACATATATTGCTCAGTTTTAGTGATAGTACTATGATTCAGATAGACACTCTCTACATAGAGAAAATATAAATTGACATAACTTTACTAAAAATCAGTCTGGTGTCATTTTAGAACTTCAAAAAATTTTACTTGTAGATATCTGTCCTTAAGTTAATAAAATTGGAGAACATATAAGAATTTTTATGTAACTTTAGTTTGTATTTAATATTCAACTTATTTATTGTTTTCACTTAATACAAGATCAAATAATTTAATAATTGATGATTTATCCATATGATGGAGTATACAAAAAGATATTTATTTTATGATTTTAAGTTATTCTAATGGAATGGCAAATCATTATGTACAAATTAGGTTTCAAAAAAGTAAGATTAAAAAAATCAGTACATAATAATCCAAATTAGGTTTATATAGCATTGGAAAAATGACTGAAGGAGACAATTGCCAAAACAGTGGCCACTTCTGAGTTGTTGACATAGGGATAATATTTTGTTAAATGTTATATTATATTTATTATATTTATATTTATTATATTTAATAATTATATTAAATCTGTGATGTACTATAAACACATGATAATTATGAAGAAAATACAAGTTTAGGAAAAGCTCAGAAATAAAAGACAAATTCATTTGTTAACACTACCTTGGGGATATTAACATGTGAGAATTCAACAAATTAAATTCTAATAATTAAAAAATGTTAAGAAAAAACCTTTATTCATGTGTGATCCAGAAATTTGAACCCAGGCCCTTATGTAAACTAGGCAATCTCTCTACCGCTAAGCTGCATCCCCAGTCATAAGTTGCCCTTCTGGCCTCAAATATGTGATCCTCCTGCCTTAGCTGCCCAAGAATAATTTCTTAAATGATTAACTATTAAATTATTGGTAATTGTCTGGGTTCTCTTACATTTTTTATTTCCATAATACTTTTCTTAGTCATCTTGCCACAGTGCCCCACAACTACTGTTAGATTCTTTTAGATTTAAATCTGACTGATGGAAACAAAATAATGTATTTGTGAAGAGAAAAAGAAAATACTGGTTTTCCTGAGAGTTAATTTATGTGAGTACAAATTCCAGTTTGATTACAGTAGAAATTTCCTGAAGTGGTACTTTGGGAGTCACTAATGATCATGATGAAAGAATAGAAAACTGTAAGGTAGAATTCCATGCATACCTTCAAAGCATTGTTGAAGACTTTGCCATGATTTATGAAGCAGCCATCAGATTTTTGAATACTTAAGAGCCAAATAAGTGTTTGAGATTGAATTTTGTCATCAATGTAAATGTAGCGTTTGGCCTGTGCAAATGACTTGTATACAAATGCGGTGAGCCTGGAAAAAAATTACATATGGTGCATATTTATAATAAACATTGAGAGGAAGACAGCATTCTTATTAGCATAGATGATTGGACACAACTGGATTTTTGAGTTTCACATCCTGAAAATTTCTTCCCCAAATTTTAGCCTCATAGTGTATCTGCTTCCTTTTCAAATGTCCTCTCATTTGGCTCATGTGCCTCCTTTTCTTTCTCCCCATTCATCATGTGTCCCAGATGAAGGGTTATCTCCACTATGATGTATTCTCAGATTCTTTTATCTGTACCTTGAGCCAAAGTAGACTTCCTGCATTTCTCTTCTCTTAATGTCTACGAATTTAATAAGAAGTTACAGAACTT